CGATCGAGTGAGAGAGCGTGAGCGAGAGAAAGAGAGAAAGGGAGATAGGTGTGAGAGAAATAGCAGAGATCCTTTAGGAACGCTAAAAATCCGACCGATCGCAAAAACTAGTCGGCAGGCTAGCAAATATCACTAAGGCAAGCTAGCAGAGATTCCTTAGGAAAACAGGGCTATCTAGTAGGGATTCTTTGCAGAACCGAGTTGGTTATATGATGTCGTGACGACCGGAAATTTATTAGCTGAGGGGATTACGTAAACAACCACTCAGCTGAGAAGGAGAGAGGGAAAGGCTTGGCTGCTGCTAAGGAACCAAAGGAAAAAACAGTAGGAAAGGCTATGAAAGTTGCAGAGGGTTAATTTAAGGAAACTGAGGGTATATAGACAAAGATTCGGATTTTAAAGGAACTGTGAAGGCACCAACCTCAATGGATCGGCGCTCTTGACGACATCGAGACGTCGGTGGCGCAGAATTGGAGATGCTGTAGCGGAGACGGTGGCTGAATCTGGGCGACGGACTGAAAAAAAGGCTTCAGTAGGATCATTAGCATTAGTAGATGCGACGCGACTTCAACGCGTTCAATGAGGGTCCATGCGGAAAGCTATTTAAACATTTGCATTATCAGGGGAAACCATTTTTCGGATGTAATTTTTCTAAAAAAACATGTCAAGTACCCTTACGCTGTTTTTGACTATTTCTAAACGGAAAACTGTAGAAATTTTTATTGCGAATACAAAAAAAAAATCGATTTTCGACGAGAAATAGGGCTTTTCCGGTGTGTGTCTCTCCCTCTCCCTCTCTCTCTCTCCCTCGCGCTCTCTCTATCTCCCTCTCTCGCTCGTACTCACCACCAGCCAGCAACGGGCTATCCGGCGTCTTCGGCAAGATACGACGCGATCCACGAGGTGTAGAATTTGTCGAGTGAGACATGGTTCAGCTAAAAAAATATTATTAAAAAATTAAAAATCAATTCATCAAATTGTGAAAATACAGAATAAGAGAATTTTCAAAGGAAAAGGATGGTCAGTAAGAATTCCCGAGGGGACCTGGTGGCCCATCAAAAATAATGCGGGGAGGGCCATTTGATTGGATGAGAGGCAGTGAGAAAAAGTTGTGAACCGAGAACTTTGACACTTTGGACCAAGGAAATCGGCTTCTTTTTTGCTTGAATTGTTACTTCAATGGGCCTTGAAAGTAGGCAGCTCCTACTAGAAAATCCTGAAACTGATTAAGATATTCGAAATGGGTCTTCTGGCAATTCCTTAAATCCAAACACTCCGAAACACACCAAATTACGTGACAACTACACCTTTTGGACAATACCAATAACGTTATAATCGTTATTTGGCAAAAATTGCAGCTTGGGCCTGGTATGGAAAGGCTATGATTACAATTTCGATGAGGGAGGTGGAGAGAGACAGAAAGACAGAGAGAGAGAGAGAGAGAGAGAGAGAGAGAGAGAGAGCGAGATAGAGAGAGCGAGAAGCGTAATTCGGGGGCCAAAAGTCGCGAAATGGCCATTCCACGCTCCCTCCTTTTTCCGGGGCTGTGCCAAATGAATTGTTTTTTTTTGTGTTTGGGGGGGCGAGCTGGCAATTTTTGGCCATTCCAAACCATGCAAAATTAAAAATTCGGGGCTGAAAACTTTTTTTAAAATACAAATTTTTGACTTGCGTATACCATTAAGATGGCCGAAAATTCCCAAATGATCTCTGCGATCTACCACGGCCGGCTCGCAAAGTGGTCTCTCGGTTTGGGCCCGAGAGAGAGAGAGAGAGAGAGAGAGAGAGAGAGAGAGAGAGAGAGAAACAGACCGAGCGCGAGAAAGAGCCGCGTATATTTTGACTGGCTAACTTTTCGTGGGCCACTCATGGGGCCCATAAAGGGCCAATTTTGGAGCTTTCAAAGTGGAAGGCCACCAGCGGGTATTGTTGGCCACGAAAAAGCGATAAAAATAGGGCTTTTCCGGTTTCGCTTTCTCTCACTCTTTCGCGCTCTGTCTCTCTCTCTCTCTCTCCCCTTTCTCGCTCCTTGTCTCTCTCGTTAGAAGGTAGAAATATAGAGTGAGAGAGCGAGCGAGTGAGAGCGAGCGAAACCGGGTAAGGGAGCAAGAGCTAGCCAGCAGGCCTAAAAAACGCCTTCCTCGAAATTTCCTGCGCAAAAAATTGTGAATTCGAGGCCCCGAAATTGAGAAAGAGCCTTCGAAAGAGAATGAGGTGGGGGAGTGGGGAGTGTTGTCCCGAGTGGAATGAATACGGAATGATGCTCTGTACTCAAAAATGGACAACCAAACAGGGGAGCACGAAGAAGGGGGAGGGTGGATGGGGGGGGAGGGGGGAAGGGAAGAAGCTCTGGAGAGATTGATGAAATCTGGGGGTTCAGGAACAATCGGAATCTGGAAGAAGAAAATTAGGCCGGCAGGCTAGAAGCGTTATTAGGGAAGTAGAAGCGGGCTAGCAGAGATCATTGGGGAAACATATGCAAGCTAGCAGAGGTCCTTTCGGAACCACAGGGCAGCCTAGCAGAGCATATTTAGTAGAGGGCAAGCTAGCATAGGTTCTCTAGGAAAACGCAGGTTAGCAGAGAGAATTTGGGAGCAGGCATGCTAGCATAGATTCTTTAGGAAAAGGCAGGCCAGCAGAGATTTTTTGGGAAAGCAGGATTGCAGAGATGCTTTGAGAAATTTAAAAAACCTCCATAACTATTTTAAGAATTTGGCTAAGGTCCCAAAGAGCAAAGCTGGCGCCTTTTCCCCCCGAAAACTGACGCTCCGAAAATGTCGCATGATCAAGTAAGATGTATTTTTTGGGCTTTTCGAGGCGTCAAACACGTGCTCGAGACCAATTAGTGTTCAGATGGGAGGAGGGGACACCTTTCAGCACCCATCCCTCCCCTTCAACCATAAAATCCACCCCAAAGGCGGTCGTCATTTCGGGTTTTAGTGGTAAAGTCAAGAAATTCTAGGAATTCGGGTTGGCGCGAACTTGTGAATATTTTAGTGAATTTTTCATTTTCTGTGGAGTTGGAGGGGTGAGGGAGCACAACTTTTGCTGCAACTATGAAATCACAGGAGGAATCTGGATGAAGGCAGGCTGACAGAGATTCTTAGACATCGAGGGGAGAGAGAGAGAGAGAGAGAGAGAGAGAGAGAGATAGAGATTTTCAGGGCGCTCCAAGAGAAAGGCAGAGATGAGGAGCAGGAGTTTAGATAATAAGGAGCATAAGGCGAGCTAGCAGAGATTCCTGAGGATCTCGAAAAAGGCGAGGTAGCAGAGGTCCTTACCGGAGCAGGATCACGAGGCAATAGCAGAGTTTCTTATCGAGTAAAAAGGTATTTTTGAGAGGAGCATGAGCACGAGAACTAGCGATCACGCGCACTAGCAGAGCTCTCGGGCTAATGGATGAAAAGCAGGCTAGCGGTGACCATTGAGGAGAACAGGAAAGGAGGCAAGCTGGCAGTGATTCTTAGGGAGGAAGTCAAACGAGCAACTAGCAAAGATTCTTGGGGATACTTATCTAAAGGAGCACTGAAACTCGCTCATGAATGGCAAGCTAGCAGAAACCATTTCAGCACTTCCATTCCACGCCAGCCCGGCCCTACATATGGCCGTCCCTCATGGAACCCCCTAACAAAAAGCACCATGTTCCCCCTGGGGCAAACGAGCAGAGATCATTTGCGTCTGGGACACGTGCACCGAGAAAATACATCTGGACGATATAGCCCCCTATGAATTTGGATGTCAACCCTCTGACAAAAAAGTTGAACGGGCCACCCGCCCACCTCGAGAGGTCATAAATATTTGAATTGGGTCTCTCCCACCTGTGTCTCCGATTTCATCAAAATATTTTTTGTAGAAAACTTTTCCTGGGGCGGCTTTTGGATACCAAATGGGGAATAAGGGGTTTGGGATGTGGACAGAGTATCGAATAACCTGAGCGAGAGAGAGAGAGAGAGTGAGAGAGAGGGATGGAAATAGAAGAATTATGTCCACAATGGGTGGCTGGATTGTGGAATTTTGTGATGAAATGGCTCGGGTAGGCTAGCAGAGGTAATTTGGGGGATGCAGACATCTCTCTCTCTCACTTTCTCTCGCCCTCTTGCTCTCTCTCTAGCTCTGTCCCTCTCACTCAAACACGATTAGTAAAAATCAAAAAGAGCTCTGCCATGAGAAAATCAAGGCCAGGCAGGCTAGCAGAGACCGTTGAGGAAAAGTCAGTCGCTTTCCAAGCAACCGGCCGGCAAAGACCATTTAGGAAACGATTTATTTAGACAGCTAGCAGAATCCTTAGAGGAAAACAAAATTCGGCCTTCCAAGTTCCTTTAATCGGTCACAACTGGTCAGCAGCCTCCCTGAATTCGATATGTATGCAAATGAGTCAACAAGAGGCACCCCGGATAAAGCGAAAAATAATCGACGAGCTGTGAAAGGGGGATCTGCCGACTGAAAAGCAGCGCGCCACATCCCACATTGACAAACAGACAGACAGAGAGACGTAAAGAGAGAGAGAGAGAGAGAGAGAGAGAGAGAGAGTAGAGGAGGAGAAATTGGACAGACAGACAGTGCAAACATGTCGACCCAGTGGATTGGATGAGAGGACCCGGAACGAGTACTCTAACGGAATGACTAGTTCTGGGCGTGTACACTCGAAAAACGAGCTGAGGGACGGCGAGTAGAGATTCTTTGGGGAAGGCATGTCTAAAAGGCACAAAAGAAAGACAAAATGGAAGAGAGAGCTAGCAGATAGACTTTGAGAAGGAGGGAGAGAGAGAGAGAGCGAGAGAGAGAGAATGAGTGAGAATATGTGAGATAGGCATAGGTTCAAGCATAGACTAGCATAAGTATAAGCATAGCATCGATAATTTTCATCCAATGATCCCATATTTTGAATTACCACCCGTTTTTCTAATTAGCATGCGGATTACCATGCGATTCCCGGTATAAAAGAAGCGGTCATCACCCTAAAAGTCATCTGAGAAGTGCCCCTTCGAAGCGTCGTCCAAATGGCCGCCAACGCCCGTTCCGCCTACCTTCCGTCGTTCCAAGCTCTTCCTGGGCTCACCAATGAGCAGATCTCTGAACTCCGTCAGGTCGACGCCGCTGCCCCTCAGCAGCTCGCCGCCGGTAAGGTTTGAGACATTACTCTCTCTCTCTCTCTCTCTCTCTCTCTCTCTCTCTCTCTCTCTGTATCTGTCTCTCTTTTTCTTTCTTTCTCTCACTCTCTCCATTCCAGCCTCCGATGTCCCCGAAGCCGATGTCCTGACTGCCGTTGAGGGTCATATGGTGGCTGGCCGTGTGGTAAGGATTTCCTCAAATCTCTATGCTACCCCACCTCTCCTTAATGATACCTCCCCCATTTCCAGGTTGGCAACGGTACGTTCGATGCGGAAGCCGGACGTGCTGCTGTTCGCTCTCAGCACTACGGTGCCTTCTTCCACTACTAGACACACCTATCGACAAGAAGACAGGCCACTTCTCTACCCCCTCTTCACTCTCTATCCGATGCCCCCTCGGACATTTTGTCTATCCTCTCTCGCTTGTGCACAATAAATGCTTCTTTTGGCTGTCATTTCTCGAATAAATCGATTGTGTCTGATGGAAAAAGGGGATGGGGGTTTTGTCGTGACGATGGTGGTACCGTCCCTTTAAAGCGATTGGGAAGGTACCCTTTTGGGTTTGTTGGATATGCGGTCTCCATGGGGTTTCTCCATGAGCTTGGCTCCTCTGACTGTCGCTGTCTCTCTCTCTCTCTCTCTCTCTCTCTCCCCTCTCTCACTGTCTCTCTTTCTCGCCTACTATTTTCTAAAACGGTTCGACCTGCAGCGGAATTCCAGCTCCCCGCCCCACCCAAAACGCGTCGATGCGGAACGAATCGAGCTCGTGCAGGTCTCGGACCGGATGGATGGATGGCAAAGTGATATGCGAGGCGCGGCTTTTCAGGGCGCAAAAATGCTACACAATGCGGCTTCGATAGTGGCCATTTTTGATGACTTTAATGGCTTGATTTTCACGTCGTCTTGCATCTCTTGATGTGATGACTTACCGATCTAAAAACGAGTACTCATCAGACTTTGGAATCCACCCAAGTTCGAGAGAGAGAGAGAGAGAGTGAAAGAGAGGAACCTATGCCCTTTTATTTTGGGGCGCCTGCGACTCGAAATCCCGAAAAACACAGCGCCACATTCCAAGGTTTCATTACCCATCCTCCCGGCTCAAACTTGGCCAGAGTTCCGCTCCCGTACTCTGAACTACCTAGGTTATCGAATCTGCTTTTTTAAGATATTTTTTGGGACTTTTAAAGGCTTGCGGAATTCTGCGATTCTGTGATTCAGAGATTATGTGGGATATCGCGAGAGACAAGGGGATAGATCATGAGATGAAAACAAAATCGCTAGATAGCAAAGACCATTTGTCTGTATCTGTACCATATTAATCCGCTCCATATCCGTCTGGATCTCAGCTGTTTTGCCCTATCTTTTGCTGCTCTCTATCTCCCTCTCCTTCCCAACCCATAAGGTGTCGCGCAGGGAAAACAATCCTCTACGGCTGCGGTGGAACGAGCAAGAGGGGGAGAAAAAAGTTTAATGGGCCGTCTGGATAGCTCTATGCTCTCTTTTGGCCTTTTTATTTGTTGGGGGATGGCTGATCCGCTCGTACATAGGATTGATGTGGACAAATAGGGATTGGGTTAGATGCTGCTCAAAATGGGTACATCAATTCTTACTTTCCTCGTTCCCTGACTCTCTAGCATTATCTCTCTCTCTCTCTCTCGCTCTCTCTTTCTCTCTTTCTCTCTCTCTCTCTCTCTCTCTCTCTCTCTCTCTCTCTCTCTCTCTTTTACTCCTATCTCAAGCCAGTTTCCCGGGTCAATCTCCCCAATTCGGTGCGACAGATATGCAGATTGCTGCTGAGGAACCGATCGGTTCAATTGGGGCTAGGGCGAGAGAGAGAGAGAGAGCAAGAGATAGAGAGAGCTAAATTCCCTTTCCTCCCACAATCCCCCCAATAGATTGCACATATTCTCTCGACAATCCAAGTGATATCTCGACCATTTCGATCTATTAGTCAGAGCTCTAATTATTTCCGCAACTGTCCAAATTCCGCTGCCTATATTTGTGAATTGTGGTTGTTTTCCCGTCATCCCCAAACTGTGTTGCCATTTCTCTCGTCTTTCCCTTTTCTCAGCAACCTTCCCTCGAAAATACCGGATTAGACGATTGGGTATTGACCGTCTTGTGATGGCGCCGGGGGAGCAAGGGACGGCGGATTTTTCGCTTCTCGGGTTGCGTTATTTCAATTTTGGGGCATTTGGAATGTTCTTAACAAGTTTCTAGGCATTTGGGGTACTGTAATTTTGAAAATCGGGCATGTTTTGCTGGCTTAGGGGTTGTTTCGAGAGAGAGAGAGAGAGAGAGAGAGAGAGAGAGTAAACAGAGAGAGAGCGAGAGAGAGAGAGATTTCATGGCTTGATTAATTTATCAGACGTTTAAAACTTTCCAACTTTCCAAAGCCTTATCTAGCAGCCTCTCTCTCCCTCTCTCTCTCTCTCTCTCTCTCTCTCTCTCTCTCTCTCTCGCTCTCTCTCTCGGTTCATCGCTCTCTCGTTTCCTTTCCAATTTGTTTTAAATGGTGATTTCAAGGGAACGGGAAGGGGATTTTTCTGGCGTAATCGGAAGCTATAGAAACGTTCAAGATCTTGCTCGCTCTCTCTCTCTCTCCCTCTCTCGCACTCTCTCTCTCTTTCGCTCTCTGACTCTCATCTCACTATCTTCAATGCAGTCACTCCTCCTTTGAAATCCGATCCCCTGTATCCGCATAACTTTTTCACCTTCCATATTTTCGGGTACCATCTTAGTCATCCCCCTCGTATAAAAGAAAACGAACAGCGCACCCGACATTTCTAAAAAGAAGGCCTTCCTCACAAAGTGGGGTTGTTGCTGGCTCTCTACCCCAAACTTTACGGCCAGCCCTTCATTCCTCTCTTTCCTTCCCCTTTTATTATAAACGAACGTTCAGAGGAACGTTTCGTAGCCTCTCGATTCTTTCCCCTATTCCTCCCCCACCCGAAATCCGTGCTGCAGGAGGGCAAGCTATTTACCCACAAACTGTCCTTCTCTTTTTTAACGTCAGCCCCTCTATATTGATGTAGCAAATAGGGGTTGGGAGGGGTTAGAGCGTAGTGGCAAACGAAACACTTGAGTTTCGCTATCAGATTTTGATCCGGGTTTCGGGTGGAAATTTGGTTTTGGTGAACTACCGAAGAATTTTGAAGGAATTTTGTGCACGAGATTCGCTTCTAGGGAGGCTGGCAGGGATTTTTTAGGAATTTTCGGAGCCATGGCCCTGCTCTCCGGGGTAAATTAGCAAATATTTTTGAGGAATTTTTGCACTTGGGATTCGTTACTAGGCAGGCTAGCAAAGACCTTTGAGGATTTTAGGGATTCCTACTGCATTGTATTTTCCGGCAGGCTGGCAGAGATTTTTGAGGAATTTTTCAAGTGAACGGTCCTGTTTTCGATGCATACCAGAGAGATGTTTTGCGAATGAGGTACATTCCGACACTTCCTAGTCCCTTTAAAAGAGCGTTGAAGTAAAGTTTGGCCATATGGCTGGTTTTTTGGCAGGTAAATCTTACCGGTTTCTTAAGGAAGAGAGGGAGAGAGAGAGAGAGAGAGAGAGAGAGAGAGAGAAGGAGAGAGAGGGAGAGAGCGAGATATAGAGAGAGAGGGAGAGAGAGACATTTTGATACTACTACATGTTACTCTGAAATGGTGCGGCCTTCACCCTCTAGCACCCAACCCCTTTGGCTGCTCTTTTTTCCTTCTTATGCCCTACCCCTGGGGGATAGAAATCGAGGCGAGAGAGGGAGGGAGAGAGAGAAAGAAAGAGAGGGAGACACAGTGAGAGAGACACAGAGAGAGAGAGAAATAGAGAGAGAGAGAGCAATGTCCTTGAACGGTTTTCTGTTCTGCAGTGCGCTCGGCTTTTTCGCCGTTTCCCAGATTTCCACCGGGCGTAGTGTTGGGCAGGGGATCTTTTGTTGTCGGCGTGAAGAACTTTTTACGATTGCTATTTTTGGGGGTAAACAGTTTCGTATTTTGTTGTTTATTTGTAAGTTCCATCGATTTTACGTAATTCCTGTAATCGTCGCTCTATAGCCCGGCGACTTTAAATACATGTCGGGTACGATTTCGGCTTGCCGAGAAATGACGGGGATTAGTGCGTAATATATCGGATCAATCCGATCTTTTTTGAATTCCCCAGTTATTTACTCTTTTTCTCTGCTTTCTATATCTCTCTCGCGCGCTCTCTCTCTCCACCCCACCATTTTGCAGTCGGCTGAACAAACCTCCTTTTGCCCGGCTCGCCTGTGGGCTTGCAACTTTTGCCCGCTAAATTGAACAGGTTTCCATTTTCTCGTCTCTCTCTCGCCATCTCTCTCTCTCTCTCTCTCTCTCTCTCTTTCTCTCTCTCTCGTAAATTGCGCCTCCCCCGGGGGCGGCAAACCGACTTACTGCCAGACACGGGAGCTGCTAAAAAACAGGGACACCTTTTTAGGGAGGGTCAATGAGAGAGAGAGAGGGAGAGAGGGGAGAGAGAGAGAGGTGGAGAGAGTGAAAGAAGGAGCGAGTGAAGTGTGACAGCTAGAGCTTGCACAGAACCCTGGAACGATACGTTCGAGTTCATAATTCCATTTTTCGTCTCTCTTTCTCGCTCTCTCCTCCCTCTCCCCCTCTCTCTCTATCTCGATCTCGTTCTTTAGCTATATTTTTAGGCCAGTTTTCTTGCTGCGCCTTTTTGTTGCTCCGCCTCGTAAAGCCGGAAATTTGAGAAGGCTGAAGAAGCCGAAGGAGCCGGACAAAAAAATGGCTGGCCATCGGGCCACACTACTGCTTTTGCACGTTCCTTTAAAGGAAATTCCGCACGGCCATATGCAAATAAATTGAAAATTGATTTTGTGGTGTGCCTGTCCCTTCAAAGCTAAAAAAGTAAACTCATCAAATTTCCCCCTGGTTTTCCACGACGCTCCAATTAACACGCCCTTCATCACTGAAAAACCGCCCCCAAAAAACAAGGAGCTTTCTTGCTACATGGCGGTGATTTGTCATTTTTCGAGATGCGAGTAGATAAGTGAGTGATTGAAGAGAGCAATGGGGAAAATCGGCCCCGATTGGATGGCGCTCGATTTTGAAATGATTTTTGGGGTGACTGGGCGGTTTCTTGGGGTGTGGCCTTTCCACAATTCAATCCTCCAGCCGATTGCCGACAATTTTCGGGGGCGCCGGCATGTAACTTCCGGTCCGCACGCAGGCTAGCATTGTTTATTGGACGATTGGCGGGTTAATTGAGCTTAAAAACAAAATATATAAAAACGAATAACTAGAATTCTGCATTAAGGGGAGCAGAATATCGAATTTTATGAGGTTTTTAGACGATTAGATACCTTTAAACCCAACCAATCGAAGCACAGAAATAATCAATATTTATCTGGCAATTAAATACGTATGTACAAGCCATTTTAGTAGGTTTTTAGGGTCATTCTATACTATTACACTTACTCTGATTGCAGGGCTAATCCAGATTCAGCTTTTTCTATGGATTTATGACTTCACGAGCCCTTTAAAACCAATGTTCCGTAACACTCCGATGGGGAAACTACTGGAAACGGCCAAACCGTCGCCGAAACCCTCTAAAACTGGCTAGAATTAATTGGGGGGACACAAGAGGAGAGAGGGAGAGAGAGTGCGAGAGAGAGAGAGACCGAGCGAGAGTAGCCAGGAAGAGTGCGTGTCAAGAAACAATTCTGGGTACATAGTAGTGTGTCGGAATCGCAGAAATCGGAGCTTTTTTGCTCTGATTCTCTGCTTCACTGCACTCTCATCGACTTCTTTCTCTCTCTCTCTCGACTTCTAAAATAATTAGAATCGATCACGTAACGGTGATTAATTCGGGTTCTCGGCCTTTTTGAAGGCCTTGTGAAGTCAAGCCAAGGGGAAATCCGGTTTATTTGGGCAACAGCGAATAGTTGCCTTCATGGTTCCTTTAAGAACAGGAATACAGGTTGTTAGCGTATTTTAAAGTATCAGGACTACACCTATAATTGGGTTTACCCTTTTCCAAAAAACCGGAAGCGGTTGCCGATTGTCTGTCGGAGCGAAACGAAATGGAATGGCTGCGAATAAAATGTCCGTGATGGCCGCTGGGGCGTCTATTTTTTGGGTGGTTTGCGTGCCTTTGCGATTCTCTAGCCCGGGAGAGAGAGAGAGAGAGAGAGAGAGAGAGAGAGAGAGAGAGATGGCTAGAAAAAAAAGAAGCGAGGGGCGAAAGGGCCAGCCCGCTGCGATGCCATGGCCCGAACTCAATCCAACCAGCCTTCAACCAACACAGACACACGCGCAGATACAAATACAAACTAACCCCCGAAATGATGCCCCCACACACCCCCCAGTCCAGCCCCCGATTTTTCCGTTTTACCCCAATTTACGATTGCCACACCATGCAGGGCTGTTCTAAGCCCTTTCACTCAAACGCTCGATCTCTGCTCTGAACTTTTCGTGTATTTTTGGGATTTTTAAATGGTTCTTAGATTCTAACGTGAATTCATTCTATGCATTCGATTACGCCATATCAGCCGGCCCAAAAATCCCCAATCGGTTCCGTAAGGGTCTCTGCTAATTTTTTTGCCAGGATTCGAGCTACCTCGTTCTGTCTCTTTCTCTTTCTCTCTTTCTCCGGCGTATTCTCTCTCAAGTGTCGAATTTTTTATTGTTTATTCATTTCCCGCGTCGAAAGCTGGTTCTTGAGGTTAGATTATTGCGACATGGCTTCTCTATATCTCTCTCTCTCTCTCTCCGCATCAATTTTTCCTGACAACCCGGGTGACCCTCCGTCGACCTTCCAAAAAATATCGCGCTTTATATCAAGCCATGCGCCGTCCGGCGTCTCTCTCTCTCTCTCTCTCTCTTCTATTTTCCAAAAAGCCATGCATTTGGATGGCCATTCGCGTGTGCATCTTTTTTGTCGGGTCTCTAATGGATCCATGGGTGTCTTTCGGAATTTGCGCTTTTATTTTTATGGCATTTATCGTTAGTGGGTTTCTACGTATTCGCTTCATCCTAAAGAATCTCTGCTGGCTTGCCCGAGTTCTTGAGAAATGGTCGAAAAATAGGGGTGAGTCATGTAACGTTTTCTCTCATTCTCTCGCGCTCTCTCTCGCTCTCTCTCTCTCTCTCTCTCTCTCTCTCTCTTCATCTCTCACGCGCTCATTTCATCTCGACTGCCAAATGTTTTGCAGGTGGTGCCCCACAAGAGGCCCAGGCGTTCCTTGGGGCCCAGTGAGGGCCCAACATAGCTAGAGCCAGAGACGCAGAGTGGGCAATGCCAAGGCCAAGGGGAGGGTGAGGGTGAGGTGGATGGAGCGGCTGCCTCCTCCTGCTCGTTGTGCACAGTTGTTGTACTCTTAAGTCGACAGCTAACCCTCCCTTCCCTATGCCTTCCTTTCTATTATCATTTATCTGTTTCTATGCCCTCGGTTCGTCACTCTTTCTCTCTCTCTCGCTCTCTCTCTCTCTCTCTCTCTCTCTAAGTATGTCGCTGTGTCCATGAAAAACTGGGCCCGCAAACACCTCACCCTTGAGGAGGGTTTGGGACTCTCATTTATCACTGATGGCAGTTCGCGACTTGATGTCGATATTTTGAGATAGGCATAGGCGTTTGCTTAGGCTTAGGCTTGGGGTTATGCTAGGCTTTGGCTTCCCCATAGGTTTTGCTCTTGGCTTAGGCTTTAGGCTTGGCTTAGGCCTTTTGACTTAGGCTTCGGCTTCGCTTAGGCTTAGGTTGGGGCACAGGCTTCAGTTTAGCCTAGGCTTAGGCTCAGGCTAGTCTTAGGTTTCGCTTCGGCTTATGCTTAGGCTTAGGCTTATGCTTGGGCTTGGGCTTGGGCTGGGGCTTATGCTTAGGCTTAGCTTAGGCTTAGGCTTGGGCTTGGGCTTGGGCTTAGGCCTAGGCTTAGGTTTAGTCTTAGACTTAACCCTTTCACTAAGTTATACCCTATTTGTGCTTGAATATTGGTAAACCCGCGGTCCTTTTTCTAATTTTGAAGTCAGTAGCTTTGCGCTTTTCGCTCCCTCAGTGCTACTCCTGTTTCCGCTTTTTTCTGTTCTTCTTGTTAATGAGTAGTAATTAGTTAGTACCAATATTTGGTGGCAACTTCATCCAACCTGACTCATGTCGCTTGAGTCACCTTGTCGAAATCCTGGACCCATCCCTTCCGATATTTCATTAAAGGCACTCGGAAGGGATGTTCCTCTCTCACTCTCGCTCTCTCCCTCTCCCTCTCTCTCTCACTACTATGTTATATCCAAACATCACCGACGAAATCAAAGTCGGCAAAATGAACGTTCACCATCCAAACCTACAATGCTTATAATTCTCCCCATCGACACCAGACCTTCATTCCCCTTCACCTTTTTTGTCGGTCCTCACTAGCCGATTTGTTGGCCTGGTTGCGCAAACTTGGGCCCTGTCGATTGGCGGCTGGTTTTTGTCATCGCGGGGTTGCCCCCCCTCCGACTGCACCTTGCTCCTTTTATGACCATGTTGATGTTGCCACCTTGCTAGCCTGTACCTCAATAGTGCTTTCCAAAGAACATCTCAGAGTACGTACTATTAAAATTTCTGTAAAGTACTGTGGAATTTGAATTGGAACGCTTAAATTCCATACTTCTATTTGCCCTCTGTTAAATTTTTCAAGCTTTTCTATTCAAAACATCACGCGGTTAATTTGGAGTTTATCGAATATCCTGCACGGTTAGTAGCTCTGGAAAAACGAAATCTTGCTGTGAATTTTTCGCTATCAAGCTAGCTAGGTCTCGCTCAAAAACCCAATATCACCTAAAAACCACTCCTTGTAAGGGGCCACTTTCAAAATTAATTAGTTCTATTTACACGAAAGCGTTGTCATGTTTTTCATCATTTCGGCGGTTTCTGACCGCGTTTTATCCGAATCCGAAGAGACCAAAGCTCTAGCTCCTTTCCTCCCTTCAAGTTATCGTTGGCTTCTGATAGTATGACGAACGGACAACAATACTCAATTTTATATGATATAATTATAGTTAACTATAGTTAATTATTATACATTATAATTAATCAACTATAACTGAAAATGATTTTTTCAAGATGCTGTACATTTTTAACTCGTGTACCTCTGATTCCCTGACCTAATACCATATATCCCTACTACCTCAACATTTAGCATCCCCTCAGCCAAGCCGTATGGGATGTCGGACCACCCTCGAAAGGGGCAACGTCCGGAGAGGGGTATGTCCAAATTCTCCTCTATCAAAACATTCTCTTTTTATAGTGGAGGGAGAACCACGATGGACAGTCACCAGACGTGAACACTCCGAAACAATACCTCTCTCACCCGCCATCCCCAACGACGATGACGACACGACCGCGGGTGGGTGTCCAGACACGAGGAGCCGTTGCTAATCTACTGCTCCGCCAATCATCCGGATTTTCCAGGTCCATTCCACTCGCGGACGATGACGACCACGGAGCGCGTGCAGATACTGCAGATGCCTGTGCCGATCTCGGACAGTGAGACCGCGCCCGCTCTGCTGCTCGCACTCTCATCCCCGAACGGAAATACGACACAGGTGGGTGATGAAAGAAAACTAAAAGAAAAAGCTAAAACCACCTCTACTACCCTTTATCTCGATTATTCGAAAACAACAACCTGTTCAGTCGATATCGTCGACTGTTACATCTTTGCCAGCCACTGGCACACCACTCATCGGCGGACTGACAGCCAGCGGACTTCCGCTCTTCAATGGCATCCATGTCAACAGGTAGGCATCGGATATATATTTGGAAGAACAACATCGCTCGATAAACTCTAACTTGCCTGCGTGTAAACCTTTGCTGCGCGCGTAAACGTGCTGCGTAGGCGGCAGAAAAGCCACCTAAAAGAAAGAAACAAACGTAAACAGGCGATGTGGTACGTATCTGTCGCAAACTTTCAATTGCAACGCACCTAATAGGGACTCCCGCCACACAACCACCGTCATTACCACCACTACCACCACCTACCGGGTCATCGAAGTCACCGACTCCGAATCGATGAGCAGCTCCGGCGAATTCGAGAGAGACTTTGAGGTGAGATCAGCATCAACAAACTACTACCTCAAAATTTCAGTTCCTCGACCATCACGGCCAATTGTTGGCTGACGAAGGCGAGCTGACCGTCAACATCCCGCTACACAGTGTACGCACACCAGAAAGACTCCAGAATCCCAGCCCGGCAACGTAAGCCCTTAGGATTTGTAGACTAAACATTTCAACACCAGCTTCATCAATTTAGGTACATGATCGTCGGTAAGACCGAATCCACACCGACAACTCCGAACCACCAAAGCGTCCATATGGGTTTCGACATTGCTCCAGTCGAACAGCCCGTTGTAGCCGCAGGAGAGGACGAGTATGAGGTAATAATAACTTCCATTCCAACCATCAACCCCCTCAACTCAGATGGTCGAATACACCATTTCACCCGCTGGAAGCACATGCGGAGAAGATCAAATTGCATCGACGAGCCGACAGATGGAAATCCAAGACGCACCCATCCGCAACTATGTCGATGTCTATCATGTTGGAACGAGCGATAAGGTCGAAATTGACACCATGGTCGAGTATGAAGTCGTCTACGATGAGGAGGAAACTGTCATCCCAGACAAAGCCAATGCCCGCGGAGATTTTGAGCTGACGGAAGAATATGACGGACCCATCGACTCCACCCATCGTCACACTGATGTGGAAGGACTACCGTTGGCTTCTCACGTCCAGGTCTACCACCATGGCCGCTCGGATGTTGGAGAGCCATCGCATGTCGTCGTCGAAGAGAAATCGGAAGTCGCAGAGAAGCCGACGCTAGCCGACAAGTTCACTGGTCTCTTCAGAAAGGGACCCAGCCACCTCGACTACCCGATCAGCGAGGCTTTCGAAGGACCAATCGACTCCACCCATCGTCATACCGATGTGGAAGGACTACCATTGGCTTCTCACGTCCAGGTCTACCACCATGGCCGCTCGGATGTTGGAGAGCCATCGCATGTCGTCGTCGAAGAGAAATCGGAAGTGCACGACAAGCCGACACTGGCCGACAAGTTCACTGGTCTCTTCAGAAAGGGACCCAGCCACCTCGACTACCCGATCAGCGAGGCTTTCGAAGGACCAATCGACTCCACCCATCGTCATACCGATGTGGAAGGACTACCGTTGGCTTCTCACGTCCAGGTCTACCACCATGGCCGCTCGGATGTTGGAGAGCCATCGCATGTCGTCGTCGAAGAGAAACCGGAAGTCGCAGACAAGCCGACACTGGCCGACAAGTTCACTGGTCTCTTCAGAAAGGGACCCAGCCACCTCGACTACCCGATCAGCGAGGCTTTCGAAGGACCAATCGACTCCACCCATCGTCATACCGATGTGGAAGGACTACCATTGGCTTCTCACGTCCAGGTCTACCACCATGGCCGCTCGGATGTTGGAGAGCCATCGCATGTCGTCGTCGAAGAGAAATCGGAAGTGCACGACAAGCCGACACTGGCCGACAAGTTCACTGGTCTCTTCAGAAAGGGACCCAGCCACCTCGACTACCCGATCAGCGAGGCTTTCGAAGGACCAATCGACTCCACCCATCGTCACACCGATGTGGAAGGACTACCATTGGCTTCTCACGTCCAGGTCTACCACCATGGCCGCTCGGATGTTGGAGAGCCATCGCATGTCGTCGTCGAAGAGAAATCGGAAGTGCACGACAAGCCGACACTGGCCGACAAGTTCACTGGTCTCTTCAGAAAGGGACCCAGCCACCTCGACTACCCGATCAGCGAGGCTTTCGAAGGACCAATCGACTCCACCCATCGTCACACCGATGTGGAAGGACTACCATTGGCTTCTCACGTCCAGGTCTACCACCATGGCCGCTCGGATGTTGGAGAGCCATCGCATGTCGTCGTCGAAGAGAAATCGGAAGTGCACGACAAGCCGACACTGGCCGACAAGTTCACTGGTCTCTTCAGAAAGGGACCCAGCCACCTGGACTACCCGATCAGCGAGGCTTTCGAAGGACCAATCGACTCCACCCATCGTCACACTGATGTGGAAGGACTACCGTTGGCTTCTCACGTCCAGGTCTACCACCATGGCCGCTCGGATGTTGGAGAGCCATCGCATGTCGTCGTCGAAGAGAAACCGGAAGTCGCAGAGAAGCCGACACTGGCCGACAAGTTCACTGGTCTCTTCAGAAAGGGACCCAGCCACCTCGACTACCCGATCAGCGAGGCTTTCGAAGGACCAATCGACTCCACCCATCGTCATACCGATGTGGAAGGACTACCATTGGCTTCTCACGTCCAGGTCTACCACCATGGCCGCTCGGATGTTGGAGAGCCATCGCATGTCGTCGTCGAAGAGAAATCGGAAGTGCACGACAAGCCGACACTGGCCGACAAGTTCACTGGTCTCTTCAGAAAGGGACCCAGCCACCTCGACTACCCGATCAGCGAGGCTTTCGAAGGACCAATCGACTCCACCCATCGTCACACCGATGTGGAAGGACTACCGTTGGCTTCTCACGTCCAGGTCTACCACCATGGCCGCTCGGATGTGCCTGAACCATCGCATGTCGTCGTCGAAGAGAAATCGGAAGTTCACGACAAGCCGACATTGGCCGACAAGTTCACTGGTCTCTTCAGAAAGGGACCCAGCCACCTCGACTACCCGATCAGCGAGGCTTTCGAAGGACCAATCGACTCCACCCATCGTCACACCGATGTGGAAGGACTACCGTTGGCTTCTCACGTCCAGGTCTACCACCATGGCCGCTCGGATGTGCCTGAGCCATCGCATGTCGTCGTCGAAGAGAAATCGGAAGTGCACGACAAGCCGACACTGGCCGACAAGTTCACTGGTCTCTTCAGAAAGGGACCCAGCCACCTCGATTACCCGATCAACGAGGCTTTCGAAGGACCAATCGACTCCACCCATCGTCACACCGATGTGGAAGGACTACCGTTGGCTTCTCACGTCCAGGTCTACCACCATGGCCGCTCGGATGTGCCTGAACCATCGCATGTCGTCGTCGAAGAGAAATCGGAAGTGCACGACAAGCCGACACTGGCCGACAAGTTCACTGGTCTCTTCAGAAAGGGACCCAGCCACCTCGACTACCCGATCAGCGAGGCTTTCGAAGGACCAATCGACTCCACCCATCGTCACACCGATGTGGAAGGACTACCGTTGGCTTCTCACGTCCAGGTCTACCACCATGGCCGCTCGGATGTTGGAGAGCCATCGCATGTCGTCGTCGAAGAGAAATCGGAAGTGCACGACAAGCCGACACTGGCCGACAAGTTCACTGGTCTCTTCAGAAAGGGACCCAGCCACCTCGACTACCCGATCAGCGAGGCTTTCGAAGGACCAATCGACTCCACCCATCGTCATACCGATGTGGAAGGACTACCGTTGGCTTCTCACGTCCAGGTCTACCACCATGGCCGCTCGGATGTTGGAGAGCCATCGCATGTCGTCGTCGAAGAGAAATCGGAAGTCGCACGAGAAGCCGACACTGGCCGACAAGTTCACTGGTCTCTTCAGAAAGGGACCCAGCCACCTCGACTACCCGATCAGCGAGGCTTTCGAAGGACTAATCGACTCCACCCATCGTCATACCGATGTGGAAGGACTACCGTTGGCTTCTCACGTCCAGGTCTACCACCATGGCCGCTCGGATGTTGGAGAGCCATCGCATGTCGTCGTCGAAGAGAAATCGGAAGTGCACGACAAGCCGACACTGGCCGACAAGTTCACTGGTCTCTTCAGAAAGGGACCCAGCCACCTCGACTACCCGTTCAGCGAGGCTTTCGAAGGACCAATCGACTCCACCCATCGTCATACCGATGTGGAAGGACTACCGTTGGCTTCTCACGTCCAGGTCTACCACCATGGCCGCTCGGATGTGCCTGAACCATCGCATGTCGTCGTCGAAGAGAAATCGGAAGTGCACGACAAGCCGACACTGGCCGACAAGTTCACTGGTCTCTTCAGAAAGGGACCCAGCCACCTCGACTACCCGTTCAGCGAGGCTTTCGAAGGACCAATCGACTCCACCCATCGTCATACCGATGTGGAAGGACTACCGTTGGCTTCTCACGTCCAGGTCTACCACCATGGCCGCTCGGATGTTGGAGAGCCATCGCATGTCGTCGTCGAAGAGAAATCGGAAGTGCACGACAAGCCGACACTGGCCGACAAGTTCACTGGTCTCTTCAGAAAGGGACCCAGCCACCTCGACTACCCGATCAGCGAGGCTTTCGAAGGACCAATCGACTCCACCCATCGTCATACCGATGTGGAAGGACTACCGTTGGCTTCTCACGTCCAGGTCTACCACCATGGCCGCTCGGATGTTGGAGAGCCATCGCATGTCGTCGTCGAAGAGAAATCGGAAGTGCACGACAAGCCGACACTGGCCGACAAGTTCACTGGTCTCTTCAGAAAGGGACCCAGCCACCTCGACTACCCGATCAGCGAGGCTTTCGAAGGACCAATCGACTCCACCCATCGTCATACCGATGTGGAAGGACTACCGTTGGCTTCTCACGTCCAGGTCTACCACCATGGCCGCTCGGATGTTGGAGAGCCATCGCATGTCGTCGTCGAAGAGAAATCGGAAGTGCACGACAAGCCGACACTGGCCGACAAGTTCACTGGTCTCTTCAGAAAGGGACCCAGCCACCTCGACTACCCGATCAGCGAGGCTTTCGAAGGACCAATCGACTCCACCCATCGTCACACCGATGTGGAAGGACTACCATTGGCTTCTCACGTCCAGGTCTACCACCATGGCCGCTCGGATGTGCCTGAACCATCGCATGTCGTCGTCGAAGAGAAATCGGAAGTGCACGACAAGCCGACACTGGCCGACAAGTTCACTGGTCTCTTCAGAAAGGGACCCAGCCACCTCGACTACCCGATCAGCGAGGCTTTCGAAGGACCAATCGACTCCACCCATCGTCACACCGATGTGGAAGGACTACCGTTGGCTTCTCACGTCCAGGTCTACCACCATGGCCGCTCGGATGTTGGAGAGCCATCGCATGTCGTCGTCGAAGAGAAATCGGAAGTCGCAGAGAAGCCGACACTGGCCGACAAGTTCACTGGTCTCTTCAGAAAGGGACCCAGCCACCTCGACTACCCGATCAGCGAGGCTTTCGAAGGACCAATCGACTCCACCCATCGTCATACCGATGTGGAAGGACTACCGTTGGCTTCTCACGTCCAGGTCTACCACCATGGCCGCTCGGATGTTGGAGAGCCATCGCATGTCGTCGTCGAAGAGAAATCGGAAGTCGCAGAGAAGCCGACACTGGCCGACAAGTTCACTGGTCTCTTCAGAAAGGGACCCAGCCACCTCGACTACCCGATCAGCGAGGCTTTCGAAGGACCAATCGACTCCACCCATCGTCACACCGATGTGGAAGGACTACCGTTGGCTTCTCACGTCCAGGTCTACCACCATGGCCGCTCGGATGTTGGAGAGCCATCGCATGTCGTCGTCGAAGAGAAATCGGAAGTCGCACGACAAGCCGACACTGGCCGACAAGTTCACTGGTCTCTTCAGAAAGGGACCCAGCCACCTCGACTACCCGATCAGCGAGGCTTTCGAAGGACCAATCGACTCCACCCATCGTCATACCGATGTGGAAGGACTACCGTTGGCTTCTCACGTCCAGGTCTACCACCATGGCCGCTCGGATGTTGGAGAGCCATCGCATGTCGTCGTCGAAGAGAAATCGGAAGTGCACGACAAGCCGACACTGGCCGACAAGTTCACTGGTCTCTTCAGAAAGGGACCCAGCCACCTCGACTACCCGATCAGCGAGGCTTTCGAAGGACCAATCGACTCCACCCATCGTCATACCGATGTGGAAGGACTACCGTTGGCTTCTCACGTCCAGGTCTACCACCATGGCCGCTCGGATGTGCCTGAACCATCGCATGTCGTCGTCGAAGAGAAATCGGAAGTGCACGACAAGCCGACACTGGCCGACAAGTTCACTGGTCTCTTCAGAAAGGGACCCAGCCACCTCGACTACCCGATCAGCGAGGCTTTCGAAGGACCAATCGACTCCACCCATCGTCACACCGATGTGGAAGGACTACCGTTGGCTTCTCACGTCCAGGTCTACCACCATGGCCGCTCGGATGTTGGAGAGCCATCGCATGTCGTCGTCGAAGAGAAATCGGAAGTGCACGACAAGCCGACACTGGCCGACAAGTTCACTGGTCTCTTCAGAAAGGGACCCAGCCACCTCGACTACCCGATCAGCGAGGCTTTCGAAGGACCAATCGACTCCACCCATCGTCACACCGATGTGGAAGGACTACCATTGGCTTCTCACGTCCAGGTCTACCACCATGGCCGCTCGGATGTGCCTGAACCATCGCATGTCGTCGTCGAAGAGAAATCGGAAGTGCACGACAAGCCGACACTGGCCGACAAGTTCACTGGTCTCTTCAGAAAGGGACCCAGCCACCTCGACTACCCGATCAGCGAGGCTTTCGAAGGACCAATCGACTCCACCCATCGTCACACCGATGTGGAAGGACTACCGTTGGCTTCTCACGTCCAGGTCTACCACCATGGCCGCTCGGATGTTGGAGAGCCATCGCATGTCGTCGTCGAAGAGAAATCGGAAGTGCACGACAAGCCGACACTGGCCGACAAGTTCACTGGTCTCTTCAGAAAGGGACCCAGCCACCTCGACTACCCGATCAGCGAGGCTTTCGAAGGACCAATCGACTCCACCCATCGTCATACCGATGTGGAAGGACTACCGTTGGCTTCTCACGTCCAGGTCTACCACCATGGCCGCTCGGATGTTGGAGAGCCATCGCATGTCGTCGTCGAAGAGAAATCGGAAGTGCACGACAAGCCGACACTGGCCGACAAGTTCACTGGTCTCTTCAGAAAGGGACCCAGCCACCTCGACTACCCGATCAGCGAGGCTTTCGAAGGACCAATCGACTCCACCCATCGTCACACCGATGTGGAAGGACTACCATTGGCTTCTCACGTCCAGGTCTACCACCATGGCCGCTCGGATGTGCCTGAACCATCGCATGTCGTCGTCGAAGAGAAATCGGAAGTGCACGACAAGCCGACACTGGCCGACAAGTTCACTGGTCTCTTCAGAAAGGGACCCAGCCACCTCGACTACCCGATCAGCGAGGCTTTCGAAGGACCAATCGACTCCACCCATCGTCACACCGATGTGGAAGGACTACCGTTGGCTTCTCACGTCCAGGTCTACCACCATGGCCGCTCGGATGTTGGAGAGCCATCGCATGTCGTCGTCGAAGAGAAATCGGAAGTGCACGACAAGCCGACACTGGCCGACAAGTTCACTGGTCTCTTCAGAAAGGGACCCAGCCACCTCGACTACCCGATCAGCGAGGCTTTCGAAGGACCAATCGACTCCACCCATCGTCACACCGATGTGGAAGGACTACCGTTGGCTTCTCACGTCCAGGTCTACCACCATGGCCGCTCGGATGTTGGAGAGCCATCGCATGTCGTCGTCGAAGAGAAATCGGAAGTCGCACGACAAGCCGACACTGGCCGACAAGTTCACTGGTCTCTTCAGAAAGGGACCCAGCCACCTCGACTACCCGATCAGCGAGGCTTTCGAAGGACCAATCGACTCCACCCATCGTCACACCGATGTGGAAGGACTACCGTTGGCTTCTCACGTCCAGGTCTACCACCATGGCCGCTCGGATGTTGGAGAGCCATCGCATGTCGTCGTCGAAGAGAAATCGGAAGTCGCACGACAAGCCGACACTGGCCGACAAGTTCACTGGTCTCTTCAGAAAGGGACCCAGCCACCTCGACTACCCGATCAGCGAGGCTTTCGAAGGACCAATCGACTCCACCCATCGTCACACCGATGTGGAAGGACTACCGTTGGCTTCTCACGTCCAGGTCTACCACCATGGCCGCTCGGATGTGCCTGAACCATCGCATGTCGTCGTCGAAGAGAAATCGGAAGTGCACGACAAGCCGACACTGGCCGACAAGTTCACTGGTCTCTTCAGAAAGGGACCCAGCCACCTCGACTACCCGATCAGCGAGGCTTTCGAAGGACCAATCGACTCCACCCATCGTCACACCGATGTGGAAGGACTACCGTTGGCTTCTCACGTCCAGGTCTACCACCATGGCCGCTCGGATGTTGGAGAGCCATCGCATGTCGTCGTCGAAGAGAAATCGGAAGTGCACGACAAGCCGACACTGGCCGACAAGTTCACTGGTCTCTTCAGAAAGGGACCCAGCCACCTCGACTACCCGATCAGCGAGGCTTTCGAAGGACCAATCGACTCCACCCATCGTCATACCGATGTGGAAGGACTACCGTTGGCTTCTCACGTCCAGGTCTACCACCATGGCCGCTCGGATGTTGGAGAGCCATCGCATGTCGTCGTCGAAGAGAAATCGGAAGTGCACGACAAGCCGACACTGGCCGACAAGTTCACTGGTCTCTTCAGAAAGGGACCCAGCCACCTCGACTACCCGATCAGCGAGGCTTTCGAAGGACCAATCGACTCCACCCATCGTCACACCGATGTGGAAGGACTACCGTTGGCTTCTCACGTCCAGGTCTACCACCATGGCCGCTCGGATGTTGGAGAGCCATCGCATGTCGTCGTCGAAGAGAAATCGGAAGTGCACGACAAGCCGACACTGGCCGACAAGTTCACTGGTCTCTTCAGAAAGGGACCCAGCCACCTCGACTACCCGATCAGCGAGGCTTTCGAAGGACCAATCGACTCCACCCATCGTCACACCGATGTGGAAGGACTACCGTTGGCTTCTCACGTCCAGGTCTACCACCATGGCCGCTCGGATGTTGGAGAGCCATCGCATGTCGTCGTCGAAGAGAAATCGGAAGTGCACGACAAGCCGACACTGGCCGACAAGTTCACTGGTCTCTTCAGAAAGGGACCCAGCCACCTCGACTACCCGATCAGCGAGGCTTTCGAAGGACCAATCGACTCCACCCATCGTCACACCGATGTGGAAGGACTACCGTTGGCTTCTCACGTCCAGGTCTACCACCATGGCCGCTCGGATGTTGGAGAGCCATCGCATGTCGTCGTCGAAGAGAAATCGGAAGTGCACGACAAGCCGACACTGGCCGACAAGTTCACTGGTCTCTTCAGAAAGGGACCCAGCCACCTCGACTACCCGATCAGCGAGGCTTTCGAAGGACCAATCGACTCCACCCATCGTCATACCGATGTGGAAGGACTACCGTTGGCTTCTCACGTCCAGGTCTACCACCATGGCCGCTCGGATGTTGGAGAGCCATCGCATGTCGTCGTCGAAGAGAAATCGGAAGTGCACGACAAGCCGACACTGGCCGACAAGTTCACTGGTCTCTTCAGAAAGGGACCCAGCCACCTCGACTACCCGATCAGCGAGGCTTTCGAAGGACCAATCGACTCCACCCATCGTCACACCGATGTGGAAGGACTACCGTTGGCTTCTCACGTCCAGGTCTACCACCATGGCCGCTCGGATGTGCCTGAACCATCGCATGTCGTCGTCGAAGAGAAATCGGAAGTGCACGACAAGCCGACACTGGCCGACAAGTTCACTGGTCTCTTCAGAAAGGGACCCAGCCACCTCGACTACCCGATCAGCGAGGCTTTCGAAGGACCAATCGACTCCACCCATCGTCATACCGATGTGGAAGGACTACCGTTGGCTTCTCACGTCCAGGTCTACCACCATGGCCGCTCGGATGTTGGAGAGCCATCGCATGTCGTCGTCGAAGAGAAATCGGAAGTCGCAGAGAAGCCGACGCTAGCCGACAAGTTCACTGGTCTCTTCAGAAAGGGACCCAGCCACCTCGACTACCCGATCAGCGAGGCTTTCGAAGGACCAATCGACTCCACCCATCGTCACACCGATGTGGAAGGACTACCGTTGGCTTCTCACGTCCAGGTCTACCACCATGGCCGCTCGGATGTTGGAGAGCCATCGCATGTCGTCGTCGAAGAGAAATCGGAAGTGCACGACAAGCCGACACTGGCCGACAAGTTCACTGGTCTCTTCAGAAAGGGACCCAGCCACCTCGACTACCCGATCAGCGAGGCTTTCGAAGGACCAATCGACTCCACCCATCGTCACACCGATGTGGAAGGACTACCGTTGGCTTCTCACGTCCAGGTCTACCACCATGGCCGCTCGGATGTTGGAGAGCCATCGCATGTCGTCGTCGAAGAGAAATCGGAAGTGCACGACAAGCCGACACTGGCCGACAAGTTCACTGGTCTCTTCAGAAAGGGACCCAGCCACCTCGACTACCCGATCAGCGAGGCTTTCGAAGGACCAATCGACTCCACCCATCGTCACACCGATGTGGAAGGACTACCGTTGGCTTCTCACGTCCAGGTCTACCACCATGGCCGCTCGGATGTTGGAGAGCCATCGCATGTCGTCGTCGAAGAGAAATCGGAAGTGCACGACAAGCCGACACTGGCCGACAAGTTCACTGGTCTCTTCAGAAAGGGACCCAGCCACCTCGACTACCCGATCAGCGAGGCTTTCGAAGGACCAATCGACTCCACCCATCGTCACACCGATGTGGAAGGACTACCGTTGGCTTCTCACGTCCAGGTCTACCACCATGGCCGCTCGGATGTTGGAGAGCCATCGCATGTCGTCGTCGAAGAGAAATCGGAAGTGCACGACAAGCCGACACTGGCCGACAAGTTCACTGGTCTCTTCAGAAAGGGACCCAGCCACCTCGACTACCCGATCAGCGAGGCTTTCGAAGGACCAATCGACTCCACCCATCGTCACACCGATGTGGAAGGACTACCGTTGGCTTCTCACGTCCAGGTCTACCACCATGGCCGCTCGGATGTTGGAGAGCCATCGCATGTCGTCGTCGAAGAGAAATCGGAAGTCGCACGAGAAGCCGACACTGGCCGACAAGTTCACTGGTCTCTTCAGAAAGGGACCCAGCCACCTCGACTACCCGATCAGCGAGGCTTTCGAAGGACCAATCGACTCCACCCATCGTCACACCGATGTGGAAGGACTACCGTTGGCTTCTCACGTCCAGGTCTACCACCATGGCCGCTCGGATGTTGGAGAGCCATCGCATGTCGTCGTCGAAGAGAAATCGGAAGTGCACGACAAGCCGACACTGGCCGACAAGTTCACTGGTCTCTTCAGAAAGGGACCCAGCCACCTCGACTACCCGATCAGCGAGGCTTTCGAAGGACCAATCGACTCCACCCATCGTCACACCGATGTGGAAGGGACTACCGTTGGCTTCTCACGTCCAGGTCTACCACCATGGCCGCTCGGATGTTGGAGAGCCATCGCATGTCGTCGTCGAAGAGAAATCGGAAGTGCACGACAAGCCGACACTGGCCGACAAGTTCACTGGTCTCTTCAGAAAGGGACCCAGCCACCTCGACTACCCGATCAGCGAGGCTTTCGAAGGACCAATCGACTCCACCCATCGTCACACCGATGTGGAAGGACTACCGTTGGCTTCTCACGTCCAGGTCTACCACCATGGCCGCTCGGATGTTGGAGAGCCATCGCATGTCGTCGTCGAAGAGAAATCGGAAGTGCACGACAAGCCGACACTGGCCGACAAGTTCACTGGTCTCTTCAGAAAGGGACCCAGCCACCTCGACTACCCGATCAGCGAGGCTTTCGAAGGACCAATCGACTCCACCCATCGTCACACCGATGTGGAAGGACTACCGTTGGCTTCTCACGTCCAGGTCTACCACCATGGCCGCTCGGATGTTGGAGAGCCATCGCATGTCGTCGTCGAAGAGAAATCGGAAGTGCACGACAAGCCGACACTGGCCGACAAGTTCACTGGTCTCTTCAGAAAGGGACCCAGCCACCTCGACTACCCGATCAGCGAGGCTTTCGAAGGACCAATCGACTCCACCCATCGTCACACCGATGTGGAAGGACTACCGTTGGCTTCTCACGTCCAGGTCTACCACCATGGCCGCTCGGATGTTGGAGAGCCATCGCATGTCGTCGTCGAAGAGAAATCGGAAGTGCACGACAAGCCGACACTGGCCGACAAGTTCACTGGTCTCTTCAGAAAGGGACCCAGCCACCTCGACTACCCGATCAGCGAGGCTTTCGAAGGACCAATCGACTCCACCCATCGTCACACCGATGTGGAAGGACTACCGTTGGCTTCTCACGTCCAGGTCTACCACCATGGCCGCTCGGATGTTGGAGAGCCATCGCATGTCGTCGTCGAAGAGAAATCGGAAGTGCACGAGAAGCCGACACTGGCCGACAAGTTCACTGGTCTCTTCAGAAAGGGACCCAGCCACCTCGACTACCCGATCAGCGAGGCTTTCGAAGGACCAATCGACTCCACCCATCGTCACACCGATGTGGAAGGACTACCGTTGGCTTCTCACGTCCAGGTCTACCACCATGGCCGCTCGGATGTCGGAAAGCCATCGCATGTCGTCGTCGAAGAGAAATCGGAAGTGCACGACAAGCCGACACTGGCCGAAAAGTTCACTGGTCTCTTCAGAAAGGGACCCAGCCACCTCGACTACCCGATCAGCGAGGCTTTCGAAGGACCAATCGACTCCACCCATCGTCACACCGATGTGGAAGGACTACCATTGGCTTCTCACGTCCAGGTCTACCACCATGGCCGCTCGGATGTTGGAGAGCCATCGCATGTCGTCGTCGAAGAGAAATCGGAAGTGCACGACAAGCCGACACTGGCCGACAAGTTCACTGGTCTCTTCAGAAAGGGACCCAGCCACCTCGACTACCCGATCAGCGAGGCTTTCGAAGGACCAATCGACTCCACCCATCGTCACACCGATGTGGAAGGACTACCATTGGCTTCTCACGTCCAGGTCTACCACCATGGCCGCTCGGATGTGGCAGAGCCATCGCATGTCGTCGTCGAAGAGAAATCGGAAGTGCACGACAAGCCGACACTGGCCGACAAGTTCACTGGTCTCTTCAGAAAGGGACCCAGCCACCTCGACTACCCGATCAGCGAGGCTTTCGAAGGACCAATCGACTCCACCCATCGTCACACCGATGTGGAAGGACTACCGTTGGCTTCTCACGTCCAGGTCTACCACCATGGCCGCTCGGATGTTGGAGAGCCATCGCATGTCGTCGTCGAAGAGAAATCGGAAGTGCACGACAAGCCGACACTGGCCGACAAGTTCACTGGTCTCTTCAGAAAGGGACCCAGCCACCTCGACTACCCGATCAGCGAGGCTTTCGAAGGACCAATCGACTCCACCCATCGTCATACCGATGTGGAAGGACTACCGTTGGCTTCTCACGTCCAGGTCTACCACCATGGCCGCTCGGATGTTGGAGAGCCATCGCATGTCGTCGTCGAAGAGAAATCGGAAGTGCACGACAAGCCGACACTGGCCGACAAGTTCACTGGTCTCTTCAGAAAGGGACCCAGCCACCTCGACTACCCGATCAGCGAGGCTTTCGAAGGACCAATCGACTCCACCCATCGTCACACCGATGTGGAAGGACTACCGTTGGCTTCTCACGTCCAGGTCTACCACCATGGCCGCTCGGATGTTGGAGAGCCATCGCATGTCGTCGTCGAAGAGAAATCGGAAGTGCACGACAAGCCGACACTGGCCGACAAGTTCACTGGTCTCTTCAGAAAGGGACCCAGCCACCTCGACTACCCGATCAGCGAGGCTTTCGAAGGACCAATCGACTCCACCCATCGTCACACCGATGTGGAAGGACTACCATTGGCTTCTCACGTCCAGGTCTACCACCATGGCCGCTCGGATGTTGGAGAGCCATCGCATGTCGTCGTCGAAGAGAAATCGGAAGTCGCAGAGAAGCCGACGCTAGCCGACAAGTTCACTGGTCTCTTCAGAAAGGGACCCAGCCACCTCGACTACCCGATCAGCGAGGCTTTCGAAGGACCAATCGACTCCACCCATCGTCACACCGATGTGGAAGGACTACCGTTGGCTTCTCACGTCCAGGTCTACCACCATGGCCGCTCGGATGTTGGAGAGCCATCGCATGTCGTCGTCGAAGAGAAATCGGAAGTCGCACGACAAGCCGACACTGGCCGACAAGTTCACTGGTCTCTTCAGAAAGGGACCCAGCCACCTCGACTACCCGATCAGCGAGGCTTTCGAAGGACCAATCGACTCCACCCATCGTCACACCGATGTGGAAGGACTACCGTTGGCTTCTCACGTCCAGGTCTACCACCATGGCCGCTCGGATGTTGGAGAGCCATCGCATGTCGTCGTCGAAGAGAAATCGGAAGTCGCAGAGAAGCCGACGCTAGCCGACAAGTTCACTGGTCTCTTCAGAAAGGGACCCAGCCACCTCGACTACCCGATCAGCGAGGCTTTCGAAGGACCAATCGACTCCACCCATCGTCACACCGATGTGGAAGGACTAA